ATTGGCTCCAAAGTGATTGAGTTCCAACAAAACTATGTACTGTTTTCACATGGTATCCATAACTGTGAAGGGCCTCTGCCCCAGTTCGTGGATTCCAGAAGAAGACACAAGACTCCTGGGTCAGAGACGAAGGACTTCGTTACTCACAGCATTCCCAGTAGCCAGAGTATCCCCATTTTATGTCATTGTTTCTCTGAGTCCCAATTCCAGCGGGGTAACATGAAGTGGGCCAAATGATGTGTGTATAAACAGAGTTACAGGAGAGGAACCCTGAGCCAGGAGAATCAAATCTTTGCACAGCTGAGCCTACCTAGAGAAGCTACTAGCTCTGTCTTCCAGGGCTGTTTGCTCTAAAAATGTCTTTGTGCAAAAAACAATCCAGAACAAAGGCAGCCTCTGCTCTCAAGACATCCAGAAATGTAAGACCCATGGGAGGCTGCCTCCAAATAGAGGACATGGGCAAAGTGAAGACAAGTTCTTTGCCACAGAGTAGCACACTTGGTTTCTGTCCATTCCCGGTGAAGTCTTCCTTCCCAGTTGAAGCTCATGAGCCCGCCTTTACTGTCTGCATTCCTATCAGCGTTCTGGTCTTCTGAGCTCCAACTAGAGTTGCATAAAGCTCTGCTCACAGCATTCAAGGCTCTCAGCAGCCCATTTCTCAAAACCTTTCCAAACCTTTCCTACCAACCAATTCCCAGAGCCTCTGAATCCCAAGGTCAGGTATAGCCACAGCAGTGACCCCACTTCTCCAGGAGCATTTTTCTGTCTCAGTTACTTCCCTGTGGCTGGGACAAAATATAAGACACTTACAATTTAAAGGAGGATAAATTTAATCTGGCTCCTGGTTTTGGTGGGCTCCATGGTTGGCCAGCTGCAAGGTAGAACCAGCATAACAGAAGGTCATGGTGCAGGAGAGCTGCCTGACCATGGCAGTCAGGAAGGAGAAACAGCAGAGCAGCTCTGAATATGGAAGGGGGTGCAACTCCATGGAGCTGCCTGGGCACACATTTCATTCTCCCTGCTCCAGTGCAGGACAGTGTGTGCAAAGTACTGTACTGGTGACTAAGGAAGCTAGCTGGACCACAAGGTGCAGGGTTTTGATTTTAACTTAGGCGTGTGCGTGCTATGGTACCTGCATGGCTGACTTGAGCTACTCAATCTCTGGCCTATAGAGCTAGGGATAAAAACACACCCTTTCAGGTCACATGCTCCGTGACCTTCCTCTTCCAACTAGGTTGCGCCTGCAAACACAAGAGACTGGGGAGGTGCACTTTAGATCTAAGACCTAACAGTACTGTGCTTACCCACCACTTCAGGAGCAGCAGCTGCCAGTATCCCCAGGTGTGCTGCACACGTATGGCAGAGAGTGGGGCTGCAGCCCAGCTTCCACAGAGGGAGTATCAGTTTCCTGTTGCTGCTGTAACAAACTGTCTCTAGCAGACAGCACAAATGCGCTGAGCGTGAAACTCAGCGGCAAAGTGGTTGCCTCCTATGTATGAGGAAATGAGTCCCCAGGACTGCAAAAACAAAACACACACACACATACACACACACACACACACACACACACACACAGAGCTATAGATTTGGAGTTCAGAAACCAAGCATGGATGTTACTAAACTGAAACCTGGGGTTGTGCTCCTTTCTGGAGGCACTGAGGGTGAGTTTCCCGAGCCTCTGCAGGCTGCCTGGGTTCTGTGGCTCACCATCCCCTCCATAGTCAAAGTCAGGAACCTCCAGCCAGACCTTCCGTGCGTCGCACGGCTTCCACACACCATTTTCCTCCCTTGTCTACTTTTAAGGAAACTTGGAATTGCACCAGACCCAGCAGGTAATCCAGGACACCTCCCTACCCAAAGTCAGTTGATAAGCAAGCAGAATTCCCTTTTGCTGTGTAAGGCAACACATTCACAGCTCTCAGAGATTAGATGTCTTTGGGGGGCCATTAGCCTGCTTGCCACAGATGGAAGAAAGTGATACCAGGCTTAGCTGGATTTCCTACTGTGCAAATGAGAAGTTCTCTATTTAGCTATTTGAATCTGTAATCTCCTTTCTATTCTGTATATACAGCAGCAGAGGAGAAGCAAAATGCTATCTATTCAAATGCAATGTATTATTCATTCTATAATGACTTAGGAGCACTAATTCCAATGCTTTCATGGCAGAACAATTTTCTGGAAATTAGTTTCAGTGGTGAACAAAACTGATGACAGTCTTATCTGGATGGACACAAACTCTAATATTTCCAATACATAAATTTCATTCCTGTTTGCTATTTCTTATTTTCTCCTGTGCATCTCAGTTTTTTTCATAAAATACAGTGTAGATTCTGTTTTTATGGTCATTACTGTGATTACATCCTGTCATTCTTTCATTTTAACCCACAAGAAAAATTCACAACTCAGCAACTATATTTTTGCAGTGTCACAAACATGGCAGATTGTAACACTTTCCAACAGAGCCCAGTGTTCCCACAGGAAGCAGCTTACCTGAGTACAAGGCATGTCCACTGCGGCCCTTTCTTGATACGACTCAACAGAGTGTGTAGTAAAGAAAAACTTCCAGGCAGGTAAAAACAAGTCCTTAAGTATGAGCAAAACACATGCTTTGGGCCGGGGATATAGCTCAGCGGCATAGGGCCTGCCTGGCAAGCACAAGGTCCTGAGTTCCATTCCTGGTACCAAAAAAATGTGCTTTGCTTGACAGATACAGCTTTCTCAATAATGTAATGTAGCATGATGGGTAAGCATGAGTTTTAGCGATTCACGCCTCAAGAAAGCAATTTTATGATTTCTCCCATCTGTGAAAAGAAGAGTTGTCAGGGTCTTCTTGGCCACATGTGTGGACTCCACACCTTTGCTAGGAGGACTCGAAGGGTTTGTGGGGTTCACAAAGTCATAATGTGTTATAGTGAAAAGATACAGAGCAAGAGCATCAAAGGCACAAGATGTATAAGGCGAGATTCAAGAGCGACCAGACACTGTCCCCCAGTGGAGTTGCAAGAGGATGGACTTCATTCTCCCAGCACAAATGCAGGCCAACATGTGCAAGTATTGTCAGCTAAAGAAGCAAGCGGGGCCTCTGTGTGTAAGGTTTTTGCTTTAATTCAGTCATGTGGGTGCTACCATTCCTGCGTGGCTGATCTGAGCTACTCGGTCCCCAGCCCTCTAGAGTACAGACTGACGCAGTGTGGCACAGGGCCTCCGGCATACAGACGCACTCTTCCTGGGCAGGGTAGCTCAGGGACGAAGAAGTTGTCCTGTAGAAGCTGGTCAAGGACCACTCCTCCTGAAGACACACCTTTCTTGGGAATGTGCAGGGCTTGGACAACCCAGGGCTGCTGAGTTGACCCTAACACACACCAGTATTGCCAGTTCAGAAGTATTGCTACATCACAAGCATATTGTGAGGATCAAATAAGTCAGAAGCTTTAAAATACAAGATACATATGTGCTATGGAATCATAAATGGAACAAGTTAGCATTTGTATCTTTCTCCCAATAAACAACCAAATTATGTCGGGCATGGTGGCACATGCCTGTAATCCCAGCACTCGAGAGGCTGAGGCAGGAGGATCCTGGCAAGTTTAAGACCATCCTGGGCTACAAAGTGAGCTCAAGACCAGCCTGAACTGCATAGCAAGGCCCTGCCTCAAAAAGACAAAAAAAGAAAAAGAAAAAGAAAAAGAAATAACTAAATTATGAAACCAAAGGAATACGTAGCAAGGCAAATTTAAGCTGATCTGCATGTCCCACCCACAGCCTTAGGTGGCCTGCCTAAAATGGGCCCAGCTTTTACTATGATGCTTGTAAACATTACTGTATCTTTAGGATGGTTAAAAATATACATTTCTAGGATCCATACACAATATACATTTTCTAAGCTTTCTGGGCTCCATGGAAGTGGACCTGTCATTAACACAGCCAGTCTCTATTTTAAGCCTGAAAAGACACTTTCAAATGTTATAGATTAATGCCTGCCCACCTAATGTATTATCCACTGTTAGTTCCGTTCAGTCCCTTTCACTACTGTAGCAAATACACCTGCAACAAACTTAGCAAGCAAGGCACAGGGGAAAGGTTTTGATGCTTATTGCTTCAGGAGCATCATTCAGTCCTTACCATCTTTGTTACAGGTTTTTTTGGGCCACCAATGAGGTGGTTTAGAAAACAGAAACCCATTTTATCACCCTTCTAGAGGCTACATGTCCAGTGTATTACTCAGCTTTCCTGTTGCAGAACACAATAGTAGACATCCACAGTTTAAAGGGGGAGAAGTTCAATTTGGCTCACGGTTCAGCAGATTCAGTCCATGGTTAGTAGGCTCCAAAGCAGAAACATCATGGTAGAGGGGTGGCATGGCAGCCAGGAGAAAAGGGAGGGCCTGGGTAGGGAGATAAGCCCTTCCAGATCACAGCGACCAGCTCTTCCAACCAGGCCCTGCCTCCTAACAGCACAGCAACCATGAACTCATCAATGGGGGAATCCTCTGATGAGTGTGGCGCCCCACGAGCCAGTCACCTTCCAAAAGCTCTACCTCTGAATACCTCCTCTCTCAGGAACAAATCTCCACTTCCCAGGGCAGTGTACCCTCAACTTCAGATGTCATCAAACAGCCAAGATCCAATTTATGAAAGCACTCCTATCACACTGGCTATCTCAAAATATTTTAAATAATTACAATAGCTAGGTGTGGTAGTATATGCCTGTCATCCCAGCAATCTGGGAAGCTGAGACAGGAGGATGGCCAATTTGAGACCAGCTTGGGCAATTTAACAGCATAGCCAGACTATCTCAAAATAAATAAAAACAAAGTTAGGGGTATAGCTCAGTGTGACACCCCTCGATTCAATCCTCAGTACCAAAAAGAAAAATTACAATAAAAATCTGAATGATATAACCAGTAACGTGGTTACCATTTTTTATTTTTAATAAACACCTTCGTATTTCAGGCTGATCTATCACTGTTTTAACAAATGAAAAATGTTTTTCACCTGCAGAAAAAATACTGTCGATCCAGAGGACCCTCGCTGTGCCCGGTTAACACTTACTGGCCAAATGATTACAGTGACGCCAGAAGAAGTCGAATTTGCCAAGCAAGTCATGTTTTCAAGGTGTGTCAAGCTTTGGTATTAGTTTACCCAAAGATAGAGGGAGGAGAGAGGCGGGGAGGAGAAGGGGATAAAAAGGAATTAAGGTGTGTCATGTACCTGTGTCAGCTCCCCACGAGGAATGCAATCGCTATGTGTGACAGAAAGGCTGCACTTACACATACATTTATGTACTCATAAAAGTAAAATAAAATTAAATTAATTACTTTGCCCAGAAATATACACTAATAAAAGTAGAGGTCAGCGCTGCCCCTGTCGACACCCTTTGCACCATAGCAAGCGGTCTGAGCTGTGCTGCTGTGGTAGGGCCTCTCGCAGCATGTCGTGGGCAGTGGCAGGCAGCCCTGCGTCACCCACACTGCCCCTGAAGAGCCCCACGCTGAGGTGTCCCGGGCACAGTTCTTACGTCTTTCCAGCCTTGGCAGTGCCCCGCCGTGCAGTGAACCTTTGTCAGCCTTTTAGTCAGTCATCGCCCCATGTCCTCTCAGAGCATTTATCATTGCATTCGCTTTGTTACAAATATTTTTTCCAGTTTGGACTTGGGCTTTGAATTCTAGAATTTTTAGAGTGAGAGGAACTTTGTTTTTATGAAGTTCAAAAAGTGGGGGAGCCCAGTGCCTGCCCTCAAGGAACACACATGTGTTGGGGTGTCGGGGGGAGGGCCAGCTGCAAGAGGAGGACTGTGACAGCCCCTCCGCGTCTGCTCTGACGGACAGTCCTAAGCTTGCTGCAGAAACACTCCTTGCCGTGAGCAGACGTGCATCCCCGGCTCACCGTGTGAACAGTTCCTGCAAGGCTGCCGGGCTGCAAGGCTGCGCAGAGCCTTTCCCAGTGTTTACTGCCCACAGCCACGGTGCCCACCGAGCACCCGCCTGAGCCGGGTGTGCTAGGTGTGCTTCCTCTTTTGCCCCGCACGCAGCCTCATGGCCCAGTGCCGTCAGCATCACGCGCAATGAGGTGAGGTGCCGAGGGCTTGCGAGGTGAGCTGGGTTTCAAACTCAGGAACTCGGCTCAAGCCTTGAGCTTGGGCCACTGGGTGCAGGAACCATAGCTTCCTGGCTCCCTGAGGCTGTCCCAGGCCCTGACACCCGGCCCTTGGGGTCTGCCTGGGGCTGACCAGCCACTCCCAGCCCCAGCAAGGCTCAGGAGCTGGCCCAGCTGTGCCCCTTTGATAAGAACCCTTCACTGTGTTCTCTTGTTGCTCCGGCAGGCACCCCGGGATGAGGAAGTGGCCGCGACAGTATGAATGGTTCTTTATGAAGATGAGGATAGAACATGTCTGGCTGCAGAAGTGGTACGGCGCTGTAGCCCACATTCCAAGGGAGGAATATTTCAAAGCAGTTCCCAGGGAGGCCTGAGTGAATAAGAAGAAAGTGCTCAGTGTTTGTCGTAAAATGAAAATCTTTCAGTGATGCTGGGGGCAGCTCCCGGCTGCAGTCTCTCGGTTGAAGGGCTCCTAGCCGCCCTGTCGTCCCTACGGCAGAATGAGCGGGCGAGGATGAACAGGAACCTCACGCTAGACTCAGATCCGAGGGGTCGTCTGCAGAGCCCCGTCCCACGGAGACTCCACGCAGCCGTTCTGCTTACGTAGCATTCCCATCCCAACTCACTATCGGGAAGTCACTGTTGGCTGTCCAAGGGGCACATGGAAACCAGTGATGTTCCTTCCTTTAAGAAAAAATGTTATGCCTGTCATAAATGTGATTGCTTTGTATTGTGAGAGCATCTTTGTTGCTGGCTGTGCCAAAAGCAGGATCTTGGATCTAAGCTCACTGCGACCACAGAGGAGCTGAATGCGCATCACACAGCCGCGGTACCATGGTTAGGGCGAGGCCAGAGGACTACTGTGGATGACGTGTTGTGTTTCTGCATGGCAAATGCTTTACTGAATCATGTTCACTAGAATGCGTTGTCACTTCAGAGTTTTTTCCCCACCGTAATGCGACGAACAGTCTGAGAACCCGCAGGGTTTCATGCACAGCCCTGTTCTGTGTACACAGGCCGTGGGAGAACGCTAAAGAGAATGTGGTAGATTTTGCATCAGGCTTCTGAGATCCCTGCGGCTCACAGGTCTGAGAGCGCCTCTCCTGAAACTGTGAGGAGCGGCATCCAAAGTAAGAACCCTTCCCTGCCTGGCGCACAGAGACGTGAGATGGTGAAACGGAGGAGGCAAAGGCGATGTGGACGAGAAGGAGAAAAGCAGCCAGTGCTGAGGTTCTACATCTCAGCCCTCCAACCGTAAAGTGCTTGTCACCCTCACCACTTCAGACTAGGAGCCCAGGGCTCCGAGAAGGCGAGTCAGCACCCCACGGCCAGCCCCGTGGTCACTTCTGCAGCTCCCTGCACCAGTGGTCGGGGCAGCACCTTCACAACTCCGGGGTTTGAGGACAGAAGGGTAGCTGCAGTGCATAGAGAGTCATGACTAACCTGCCCGGACACAGTTCATCGCTGCTTTGCAGGGGGAGGTTCTCTAAAATGTGATTCTTACTGCAGAATTTAAATTTTCAGCACATTATATTCTGGAGTTCCAGGTGTTTGCAAGAAACTAGACTGTACCCGTGTACACACCCAAGGCCTGCATGTACCTACATGTGCACATAAGGGGCTTCCTGTAATAAACCCACAAAGGGTCTAGTGGTGTCCAACTTTTCTGTCTTCACAGCAATAAACTCTCTTTGGTGGGTCAGGCACGTAAATAATGTGATAGCACATCACGAACATAGGAAATACACATTCTTAAAATAAGTGTTATTAATGATTATATTTTATTTTTGTCTAACAAAGTAAGACTTGAGAGCTTGAGTTGTCAAAATATGTTTTAAGTGCCTATTACTAAAACATGGTAGGATGTACAATATTCTTTTATTTGTCATAGGCCAATTCTCAAAAGAGTTCCTAACCATGGCAATTTCTAATAGATAAGAGTAAGGCAACTCCTTGAAGGTATTTTATATTTTCAGACTTTAAAATTATGGCTAACCCCAATTTAGAGGATGGGGAGAAACTGGAAGAGTAAACCACAAGCCCAAAAGTGCTCCATAAGTCAACTTCAAACCTGAATCCTTGGAGCATCACTGCCTCTTGGTTCTGTCTTACAGATCATGTCTCTACACTGCGTCTGCGTTTAGTCAGTAATTAGTTTCCCTTTCGCTTGGTAAGGGTCCCTGCTGCTTCAAAGGGCTTTGCAGAGCGGCTTCCACTTATAATCACTGATGAATTTTGTCAGCTATTTATCCAAATTGCAGGGATTGAAACAGAACAGGTTGAACCATAAGAAAAGTATTGAAAATTCATAGCTTTGAGTCTGATGAGTCCCATTCAGGCAAGAGTGTGTCTAGAAATTCACACTGATTACAATTTTTAGGATTAGAAGTTCTAAACATAGCAATAAAGCAAGAAAAAGAACCAAAATGCATATCAATTGGAAAGAAACAAAAGTAACCCCATTTTCCAGATAACATGATTGTCTACACAATATTTTTTTTTTAATTTTTTTTTTCCAGTACCGGGAATCGAACTCACGACCTTGCACTTGCCAGGCAGGTGCTGTGCCGCTGAGCTAAATCCCGAGCCCCATCTCTTTTTTTTTTTAATTTTTTTTTTTTTACATAATATTCTTTAGAAATCAAAAAGCCCCTAGAACTAGTAGGTGCAGCAAGGTCTCTGGATACAAGATCAGCACTCAAGATTTAATCACATTTGAAAGTGCCAACAAGGAGTATGTGACAACCAAAGCTGAAAACATAGTACCATTTTTGGCATTCCAAAGGTGAAATGCATGGGTATAAGTTAATGAAATGCATGGGTATAAATGCACAGGATTTATATGCTGGAAGTCTTTAAATGCTAATGAAAGAAATAAAAAAAAAAACCTAAAAAATGAAGAGAGATACCATGTTCAATGGATTGGAAGGTCCAAAATAGAAAAGATATCTATTCTCCCCAAACTGACCTCTTAGTTTAATGTGATTTCCATCAAATCCCTAGCAAGGTTTTGCAGACAAATACACACTTATTCTAAAAGTTATATTTCAAGGTTTTCAGGCTTTGGAAGAGTTAGTCTTGCAGGAGAAATCATTCCACCCAGTAGAAAGGTTTATTAAAAAGCAACAGTATTCAAGACAGTGTCATTGGTGGATGCTTAAACATGCATTAATAACAGAGCAGAGACCCAAAACAGGTTCACAAAAGCATGCTTAACCATTTTTTTCACAAAGGCACAAAAGTAATTGAACACAAGGAGGATAGCCTTTTCAGTAAATGTGCTGGAGCAAGTAGACTAATCTTCCTACCTTATATGAACATTAACTCAAAAGAGATCATATCTGTAGGTGTAAACTGTAAACCTGTAATTATGGAAAGAAGTAGAAAATCTTTCAGACTAAAAGCTAAGCAAAGAGTCTGTAAACTTGAGACTGAAGGTATGATCCATTAAAAACTTGATAAATTAAACATCATCAACATTTAAAACTTTCGTTCTACAAAGGATCATGTTTAGAAGATCCAGACACAGGCTACAGACTGAGAGAAAATACCTGTGAACTACACATCTGACAAAAGACTAATGGCTAGCGTACACACAGAACTCTCTAAACTCTGTAAGCAAATCCACTTAGAAAATGCAGGACAGGAAAGCTCGCTTCACTGCAGAGGAGCTACGTATGGGGAATGTGCAAAAGACATCCCAAATCTTCAGTCACTAGGGAACTATACATAGACCCAAACCGCAGTGAGATGCTACTATACACATCAGAATGACTGCAGGAAAAAGCAGTGGTGACACCAGGCATTGGTAAGAATGCAGAGAAATTGGATCAGCCATATACTGCTGCTGAAATAACCACTATGGAAGACCATGTGGTAGTTTCATTAAAAACAAAATACATACTTGCCATACCAACCAGCAGTTGTACACCTGGGCATTGATTCAGAGAAGTGAAAATTTATGTACACACAAAAACATTTAGCTAAATCATTCATAATATTCAAAAACTAGACACAGGCCAGGTGCAGTGGTGTATACCTGTAATCCCAGCACTTAGGAGGCTGAGGCAGGAGGATCACTGAGTTTGAGGCCAACCTGGGCTACATAGTGAGTTTAAGGCCAGCCGCACTACCTAGTGAGACCCTGTCTCAAAAAGCAAACAAAAATATAAACCGGACACTACCAAATGTCCATTAATCTGGTGGCTAATTAAACACTATGTTACATCCATGTCAGGGAATACCACTCAGCCATAGAAAGGAGATAATTGTTGATACAGGCAACAGCTGGATAAATCTCCAGAGAACTGGTCTGAGTGAGAAAAGCCAACCCTAAAAGCTCGCATGCTGTGTGATTCCGTTTATGTAACATTTTGAAATGCAAAATAATAGGAATGGAAAATAGAGATTCCCAAGGAGGAAGGTAGGAAACAAGAGAGGTGGTTTTGACTACTAAAGGATATCACAAAAGAGCCTGGCCATGATGGAAATAGTTGGTATAACTGAGCAAACCAGTATGAAATCCTAGTGGCAAAACTGTGCTTTAGCAAGATGCTCGCGTGAGGAGAAATCGAGCAAAAGATAGGGAAGGGAAGCCAGGCATGGTGGCACACACCTGTAATCCCAGCCTGGGCTAGAAAGTGAGCTCAAGGCCAGTCTGAACTGCATAGTGAGACCTTGTCTCAAAAAGACACACACAAAAAAAAAAAAAAAAAAAAAAAAATAGGGAAAGGAGAGTAGCATTGTTTCTCAAAACTGCATGTGAACCTGTACTGTTCTACAACTATCTCAGAGTCTACGGTTATTTCAGAAGGAAAGGTTTCATGTAGACAAGACTTCAGGCTTTGCTTAAGTAAGACATTGAGTCTCTTGAGCTCTCTCACTCTCTCTGTCTCTGCCTCTATTTCTGTCTGTCTCTCTCTGTTTCTCTGTCTCTGTCTGTCTCTGCCTACCTCTCTGTCTCTCTGTCTGTCTCTCTTTGTCTCTCTTTGTCTCTGTTTCTTTGTCTGTCTCTCTGTCTCTCTGTCTCTGTCTCTGTCCCTCTCTCATTGGTCTCTAAAGAAATGAGGAACTGAGTTAATGGCCAGAACCTACCAGAAAGCAGACATTTCTTTTGTTAGCCATGCATATGTATATTTGTGGAGCAGATGTAAGAGTTCTGTAAAGTTTTCTAAATGTATTTGATGTAGTGTTGAATACAAAGTAATCAGAATTCAACAGGGGGTTGGGGTGCAGTTCGTCGGTTATGTGCTTGCCTAGCATTTGGGGCCCTGGGTCCCAACCCCAGCACTAAATAACAGAACTGGACAAATTCTCTGTATAGATGTTCCCTGGGACACTGAGGAGGGGAAGATGTGTTCACCTGACCTAGACGTGGTGAGTGCACTCTAGGTATGTGTGAGTGTCCATGTCTTCATAGAATGACTCTCCACTGAAGTTTATCCATGGAACTGTATCTCCAGTAATCTTCCTCTAATTGTTCTGGGAAACAGTTCTTTGGTTTCTGTGAATAAATTAATGACAGTATATCCAGGCCCCTGTGTTTTTATTTACAGAGAATGAACATGTTCATGAGGCTGGCCTGTAGCAACTCTGTGATGCTCGGTGCTCCTTTCTACGCCTTGTGTGACATGGATGCTTTGTAACACAGTTGTGTGGGAATTGAAATGCATCTCTAGGGGCCGGGGATATAGCTTAGTGGCACAAGTGCCTGCCTGGCAAGCGCAAGGTCCTGAGTTCAATCCCTGGTACTGAAGAAAAAAAAAAAAAAAAAAAACCTCCTGAAATGTATCTCTAGTTTTTCCAAAAAGCCTGTATTTCATTCTTCATAACTATCAAGCACTATTTTAAGCAATGTATTAATGCTTGTTTGATTGCTATCATGTCAATTATGGGAAATTTGAATTGCAATGAAGTTACAGTTTATACTATGTAATTAATGCACATGGAGTGTAAAATCTGTTTTCAAAACTAGATGTGTCCTTTTCACCAAAGACTATTTCATTCTGGATATGGTTTCTGTGCTTCGTTCTGTGAAGTTATAATATTTATAGTCATTTCATATAATGTTACAAATAAACATTATTAGATGTCTAACAAAATAGAGGGTACTGCAGTGAATCTGCTGATAAGTTTCCAGTAGAAAGAAAAGAATAATCTGGGTCTTTTGTTTCATTTTGGTTTTGTTTTGTTTTTACAACAAGGTCTTAGTACATGGCCCAGGCTGGCCTTGAACTGCTGAGCTCCTGCCATCCTCCTGCCTCAGCCTCTTGAATAGCTAGACTACAGTTGTACAACCATGCACCCAGCTTTGTCATGATTTTTTTTTTTTGAGGCAGGGTCTCATTATGTAGTTCACGTTGAACTCACGTATGTAGCCCAGGCTGGCCTAGAACTCACAGGGATCCTCCTACTTCAGCCTCCCGAGTGCTGGGATTACAGGTGCACGCCACCATGCCTGCCTGGCTTGTCATGATATTTTAAGGCTCTGAGTAAAATACAAATTATTTGCAGACATGAAAAGGCAGATGTAGCCACATCTTGCACAACTGCACAATTATTCTTAAAGTCCTAGCCCTGGAGCTGGTACAGAGAGTGTGGCAAAGAAATGACACGTGCCACGAGAGTGACCGGGCTGTCCATCATTAACTTTTGAGCGAGGGCTCCCCAGGGTGCAGAGGGCCCTTGCCAATCCAGATAGGCTGGATCCCTC